CTTCCATTATCTGAGCACATCACCTTATACATTCACACACTGAGGCGTACCTGGTTGCTTCCAAATTTTGACAAATGTGCGTAAACCTGCTGTAAATATCCATATGGGTTTTTATGTAGATATAAATTTTCTACTCATTTGAGTAAGTATCAAAGAACACAATTACTGAGCTGTATGGCAAGAATATGTATGCACAGTGTGGTAAGAAACTACCCAAGAGTCTTTCAAAGTGGCTGTACTATTTTGCTTTGCTTCAGAAATGAGTAAGACAGTTCCGGTTGCCGAGGATCCCTGCAGGTATTTTCAGTGTTCTGCCATTCTAATGGGAGCGCAGTGGTGTCCTGATGTCCAGGTATTTTCAAAGAGCATGTTTCCTCATTTTTCAGGGATGGTTTTGGTCTCCTCTTAGTTATTTTGACTGACTGAATCCTGATCATAGGATGTAGTAAGTAATATTTGTACTTATCAAAATTTTCTAGTTTTCATCAAAGTCCATGATGAATTTTTGCACTTGTTTCTTCAGCTTGGATTTCTTAAGAAAAGAAGATTCTATTTGGCTATTGAATCAAGAATATTAAAGATTTTGATTAATTCCTCTGTGTTAATAAGCGCACAATTTATGATGGCAAAATGTACAAGTTTCTGAGTTGATGGTGTGTGAAAGTAATATACCTTCAGCAGAAACCATGGAGCGCTTGGAGTTTCATCTCTCCCAGGTCAGCAGAACACCGCGTGGTGGCTTCCTCTCAGTGGCTCCCATCAGGGGCAGGTCCACCGCGGAGACAAGCAGTGCTCTACTATGTGGTGTGAGGCGAATCACCACAGTCAGCTGATCGGATAGGTGCATTCACTCATGCATTTTAAACTTATGGTGGATTTATTAGTACACTGTAAGTCACAAAGCATATACAGTATTTTCAAAATTTATGTGTGACGCATACAAATATAGAATAGACAGTTCCCAAAAATTGTATCCCTCAATTAGTAATTTGTTTTTTACTTTTTGAGAAAGGGCCCAGGGTGGGACTCAAATTTGCAATTCTCCTGCTTCAGCCTCCCAAGTGCTGGAATTACAAGCATGCACCACCACATTGTGCTTGTATAGGAGTTTAAATCAATGGTAAATAGTGAATCAAATACAAACACTCTCCTAAATAATCAATCAATAAAATAGTAAGATGGCTCAAAGGAAACTTAAAGACTGAATATCTACAGGAACTTTAATAAAGAAATATTAGAATAAGAGGGCTGGGGATTTAGCTCAGCGGCATAAGCGCCTGCCTTGCAAGCGGGCAATTGTGAGTTCAATCCCCGGTACCAATAAAAAGGAAAAAGACAAAAAAAAAAAAAAAAACAAAGAAAGAAATATTAGAATGAGATTGTAGATTAGATGGCAAAACTGGGTACTATAAAATAATACGGGGCTGGGGATTTAGCTCAGCTGCATAAACACCTGCCTTGCAAGCAGGCAGTCGTGAGTTCGATGCCCAGTACCCATAAAAAGGAAAAGGAAAAAAAAAAAGCCAATATAAAGTAATACATAACAGCCTTTAGACTCAGAATTATTGTTGTACTTACTGGACAAAACTCTGCAAGTTGATCTGTAACTGTTTTTAACTCTTTGAGACAGGGCCCAGTGGGACTCACATTTGCAATTCTCCTACCTCAGCCTCCCAGTGTTAGAATTACAAGTGTGCAATGCCACACCATGCTTGTGTAGGAGTTTTAATCAATAGTAAGTAGTAAGTCAGTGGTTACCATTGTTACTCTCCTACAATCTTATTTTGAAATTTTGTATCATTGTTTTTATTGAGTTTTTTAATTAAAAAAAGAATAGTAGGAAAAAAATAGTGAGTCAAATACATACATTCTCCTAAATAATAATCTTCAGAAGACTTTGTGTACCATTTGTCTTTGGAAAGACATGACACCCAAATTTTTACCTAATTTCCAAGCTCTGGCTAATTTTTTAAATAATATCATCATCAGCTTTTTCTCTCTGATCTGTATCTGATCTAATGCATCTTAAATCCCCTATAAGAAATTTGTTTTTATCATATTTTCCTTATTACTATCTTGATTTATTTATTTAGCTGCCATTCTGTTCACTGCATACAAGGTTACATTTATTTTAGTATTTTTTTCATGGCACAGTTTCTTTACTTACCCTATTTAGGTTTTTTATTTTAAATTCAAACTTGTCTAATTAATCTTGTTATCTAATTAACACTATGTATTCTTTATCTCTTTTGGGGCATATTTATTTGTCAATATCTTTATATTTAACCAATGTTTAAAATCACTTTGTTTTGGGCATTTCTTGTAACCATCACATGCTCTTAAAAAAATCTGGCGATGATGTCTTTATTTCAGTCACATTTAAAGCAGTTGGACAGCCAGGTCTCATTAATTGAGAAGTCACAGTCCATAAAGTCTCTGACAAATCTAAATTACCAAATGCTGAACTGGAGAAACACACGATTTATTTCCCATGATCCTCTGGGTACAACATTTCATCACTCAATTAATCCTTAGGTCTGCTTTATGTGTATTTCTGTTTAAAGACACATTTGTTGATTCATGAGGAATGAACTCACAGATGACAGCACTGTAACTCACGGTTGGATGAAACTTCTCTGACATATATTTTCTCACTTTCTAAAATTTTATTTTGATCCAATTGGACAGAGTGGTACATAGCTGTAATCCCAGCACTTGGGAGGCTGAGGCAGGAGGATCGATGCTAGTTCAAGGCCAGCCTGGGCTACAAAGTGAGGTCAAGGCCAGCCTGAACTATATAGTGAGACCTTGTCTCAAAAAGACAAAAATAAATTATTTTGAGACGGTGTCATGAAGTTGCCCAGGCTAGCCTTGGATTTGCAATCCTCTTGCTTCAGCGCCCCAAGTATACATGCACATAATTGAATCTACCAGTAAAAGTATCCAGGCAGGGTGCCCAATAAGCGCCCGGACCTTGATATATTTTCTCTTTATCTCTAAACTTCAGAAATAGGCCCAGGTACACTCTTATCAACTCAGTCTGTAAGTCAGAAAGCTCTTTCTAACCTGTTCTTCATTGCTAGGCTATGTTTTTCTATAAGACTTATTTTTTCTTTCATCTATTCCTCTTTTTCCTTCTGGAAGTCTTATTCACATGTTAAGTCTTCAGATGTACTCTCCCAGGCAGATCTTCTCTCTAATTTCCACCTCTAGACCTTTGTTTTGTGTCTTCAACAGAACCTAATTATTGATCCTACTTTTCTGTGCTACTTATCTGAGTCTCTGAGATCATTTTCTCTTTAAGTTCCTCTAATGAGCTGTTTTATTGGGAAACTGCCTATTTTTAGCTCTATATTCTTTTTTCTCTATTAGTATCTATAGGTGCTTGCAGGTTTTTTTTTTTTTTTTTTTTTTCATATTGTCATCTGCCTCTTTTAGCAGTCTGTGTCACTGGTGGGTTCGTCTCTCCTGACTTCCCTTTCTCTGCCAGCTCACTGCAGCCCAGGGTCTGAGTACTGTAGCATCTTATGGGCTGCATTTTCTACCAGTGGAAAAGGGGCAAAAGGGTCTGTCGGTTTGTAGGATTGCATGGGGGAAGCAGGCACACTGCTACCCATCTCTTGTAGAGGCACCAGGAAATGCCTCCCTTGGCTGGGAGAGTCCCCAACCTCAGGAACAAGGGAACTCGGCCCACTAGTTCAACAACTCAGGACAGGACCCAGAGACCAGGTATCTTTATCTACCACAATGTCACACTTGCCCTAGGTCTGAGGTCCAAACTCCCACCCAAGGTTCAAACCTTTGCTGAACTAATGGGGGAAAACAGTCAGCCCTGTTCCTTCCACTGATCTCTACCACTGTTTCACTTGAGAAGGACAGAAATTCATGGGGAAGTGGAAGGAAAGGAAACCACAGTCAAGTTATCATATTCCCAGAATCACCTCTAAAATCTCAAAAGAAATTTTAGTTTAAAAGAGAATTTGCAAAAAAACACAAAGTGAATACCATAATAGGTGGCAATTGGTATGACAGACAACACAAAGGCAATGTGAACACAAAGCCTGAGAAACAGCAGCAGCACATGGCTGGGCTTCCCTTCTGCTCCTGATCTGTTCTTCACATCAGCTACCAGAAAGTTCTAACAGGGTGTGATGTGTTTGTTGCTGTGAAGAAAGAAAAAGAAGGCTCTTGGTCATGATGGAGGCAGTTCAGTGATGGGCTTATGGCCTCTTCCTGGTGAGATGAGCCATACATATGGATTGTAGGTATAACCTACGCAACCTATGCACAGACAGACTTCAAAGTAAAGGAGATAATTAAAGAGCAAACAGGGAGAAATACAATGCTTTAGAAATAGTTTAGTTGAGTGAGTACACCAAGGATACAAGCTCTAGGGCTGATAGAGAAAGGCAGCACAGGAATGGTGACTGTCATAAGGGACTTCCTCTGACCGGGCTCTTCCTCTCTAGTCTTGGTGAGAGTGTCAGGCTCAGTCTGACATTTTCCCCTCAAAGTAATAGCCTCACCTGTTTCTTCTGTTGCATCATATTTATTTATATTTGTCAACACCATGTGGGCACTCAGAAGAGACAGCTCACTGTGACACCTTCTAAAGCACAGCTGGGACACATGTCCTTGTCAAACTCACAGTCATGCAGGTACTGTAACCACTGGTGGCACCAGGTCATTGGCAGTCCCATTGGCTTTCAGTACCAAGGGGTCCAGGCCCAGGATGTGGGTGGGTCCTGCTTGCATCTGCAACGCACCTGCCCAACTGGTCAATGTCCCCAGAGAATTAAGAGGATTCCTCCAAGCCCTGAACCCAACACTCAGCTGGGACTCCTAAAAATACACTCCCGGCCTGCAGAAAGCTTCAGTCCTGAGGGCCTGGTCAGAAAGCACTGCTTTTAGGTCGCCTGCCTTGTCATTTGCAGCCATTTAGTTTTACATGGAAGAGAAAGCGCCAGGTGGGGACAGAGCCCACCCTAGTGGTAGGGAAGGGAGCCTAGCAAGTGGTCGCCCCCAGCTAGCGGGGGCAGAACCATGGCAGGAGCTGCAGCACCCCAACTCTGGTCAGGGTTCTCTCTTTGTCCCTAACCTGCCCTAGGCTCGCAGTCTCCTGTGGCTTATGACATAGAACTCGCCACTCAAAATCAAACATCATTTCTTTCTGCAGGGTACTGTGGGCCAGGAAAGCAAACCATTTCCACGTGTGCTTGGGATCACCATATCTGGGACCTTTTCAAGGACTCGAAGCCCGAGGTGAGTGCGCATTGAGTGTACGCGTGTGCGCGGGTGCATATACCCCAGCGCACACTAGGCTCTGGCCCACACGCAAGCCCAGGGCTCATGGGGGAGGCCGGGCGCCTCGGGGGGCCAGGCTCAGCCAGCGTGCACAATGGGCTGCTCTCTGGGGCTGGCGCGTGGCCGAGCCTGGGGGCCGGGGGTCGGCTGCTTTGGAGAAGTCCCTCATTGTTGGCGAGGCGAGGCGCTCGCCGCCTGCAGCGAGCGGGCTGCAGTCTATTCACCGGCAGCCTGGCGTCCTGCGCCACTGCTGGCTGCGTGTCTCCCCCGCGCACCTGCCCGCGCCCCCACCCTCCGCCCGCCATCTGTCGTCTGAGCGCCATTGTCAGCGTCGCGCCTGGCGTCCTGGACGACACCCAAGGGGACGCGGGGCCTGGGCCGGCGAGAGGCAAACAAGGAGGGCTTATTCCAGCGGCGTTTGTTGGTGACCTTGAGCAACAAACATAGTGAGGCTCCGGGGCGTCCGCCCTCTCCAATGCTCAAGCTTGTGATGCAGTTTTCTCTTTGGGGGCCTTTCTTGGACCCCAGAGCAGTGAGTCCGCAGTCTAAGCCAGATCCTCCTGCTTAGGTTCCCTGGGATGCCACCCTCGCCTGAAGGAGTCCTGGGGCAGATTGCGCTGCACCCCTTGAGGAGAGCCCCAGGGGGGCGTTTCAAATGCAGATGGGGGCTTTGTCGGCCTGCGCGTCTGATCCTCCAGGTTTGATCCCCACTGTCCGCTGCTATTAGGATTCTGGGTTGAAAGAACAGCTTCTTTTCTGCACCACCAAATGCAGCCTTTCAAGTCCCCCAGCCTGCCCGCCCCTCCCCCACCCCGCCACAATCTTACTTTACACCCCCTTCTTTTTATTATCTCATCCTCTTACTGTTAGTGGAGAATTCAAATGTCTTACCGTAGCCTGATCAAAAAGAACGCACACAACCAAAACAAAACAAAGCTGTGGGCCCTGGGGATGGTGAAATTTCCTTTTGAAACTATAACTTGTCCTCTCGCTCCTGTACATCTCCACACACCAGTTTAGGAATCTAACACTCCCCTGCCTCCCCCCACCACCACAGGTACGACAAGCAGGTTACCCTCTCCTTAGACTGGGAAAAGAAGCCCAAGAGACAGGAGGAGTTATCACAGCTGTGCGCTTTGCTTATCGAACCGTGTAGGACAAAGGGGACCCACACCCAAGGTGGACTCTGTTACTAACAGGAACTTGCGAGTGAAGAGAGAAATCAAGGCTCAAGCAGGGATACTGAAAGCTAATTTCTACAGGCTGATGCCTCCCTGAGGCAGTAGCCCCCCAACTGCTCCTCCCTCGCTTTCCCTCTTCCTTTTTATTTTTATTTTTTTACCTGAAGATTGTACCTAGGGACTTTACATCATGCTCCATCTTCAACCATATTGATTGATTGATTGATTGATTGATTGTCTTTTTGAGACAGGGTCTGAACTATGCAGCTCAGGTTAGCCTTGAGCGCACTTTGTAACCCAGCTAGGCTCGAACTCCCAACAATCCTCCTGCCTCAACCTCCCAAGTGCTAGGATTATTGGCATGCACCACCGTGCCCAGTGCCCTTTTTATGTTTAAAAACAAGGTCTCACTAAGTCACTGTTTGCCCAGGCCAAACTTGAATTTACTATCTCCTGCCTCGGCCTCTCAGAGTGCTGGCATTATAGGTGTGTCCCACTACATCTGGCTCTTTCTCCTCTGTATTTGGCTGCTAAGAGAGGGGAGTGCTAGCACCACAGAGGTTCCACCCTGCATCCCCTAAACCTACTTGCACAGACCAGACTGACTCCCGGGCGGTCTGAGGTCTTCCCTTCTAGAACTTTGGCCCTGGGAGTGAGAACTTGGACCTAGAACTCAGAACTGAGAATGCAGAAGCCTGGAGCCCCCACAAATCTCCCTCTTGGGCAGGACAGAAGGGGAAACAAATACACCTCAGAAAGCTTATTGTGTGTGAAGGTATGAAAAACTATTTTGAAGAAAACAAGAGACATTATGGTAGCCATTGTTGATTTCCTGCTTTTTCTGAAATCCTGTGTTATTGCATTGTTTTACTGTGCTCTGCTTTATTCTTTTTTTTTTTTTTTGCTTTGTTCTGTTTTATTCTCTTTAAAACAAAAAATTTAAAAAAATATATTTTTAAATACACCTTGGAATCTCTTCTCCTCCTCATTTCACAGATTGAGTTTTCACTAAGTGTATTACTCCTGGGGTGTGTGGGTTTAAGTGTTTGTGCACACAGATAACACATACACCTGACACAGAATTCAGAAGGAATACAAGCAGCCATTCAGGGAGCAAAAAGCCTCCCTCCAGCCCTGTTGCAAAAATGGCAATGTTTGCAATGTTTGCTTTTCTACTCCTGGGTAGCCCTGAAAAGGCCTCTGCTTCTGCCTCTGTCTCTAAGTTCCTGTCTCGCCTCCATCTGTGGAGTTCCAAGATACTCTTTCTCTTCCAACCTGGTCTGTCTCCTCAACGAAACCAGGATAAGAAAATCTACTACTATGGCTTCAGGAACAAATAAGAAAGTGCTCCGAGGGGCTGAGCACAGTTACATTGCCCCTTTTGGAGACAAAGCTCCATTCTCATTCCCCTCACCTCTTCTAGTAAAGTCTAAGGAGTTTGGAGGGGAAGATCCTAGATGAGGAAAAGAAAGGTTTGGCAGGTGACAGATGACCACTGTCACAAAGTAGAGGGACATGGAGTTAAGGAGGAAACATGTGGAGGGGCTGGGGGTTTAGCTCAGCGGCATAAGCGCCTGCCTTGAAAGCAGGCAGTTGTGAGTTCGATCCCCGGTACCCATAAAAAGGAAAAAGACAAAAAAAAATAAAGGAGGAAACATGTGGCTAAGGGAGGGGGAGATGAGGCAGGCTATGCTGATGACAAACAGCCAAAACGCATGCACACTAAGAACATCGTTCCTGTCCTGCACTTGCAAGCTATTTGCAGCCACAGCCTGAAGAAGGCTGGGAGAAGGCTAGGGCCATTTTGTGGCACATGTCTTTTTCATAAACTGGTCTAAATGAGGGCCCTATTCCCTTAGGAAAGTTTCTGGCAATGGCAGAGCACACTGTATAAGCACAGTATCTGCCAAGCTTCTATTGGTCAAAGGAGTCACAATGTTGAAGGGGTAGTGTTTACCGGCCATGAATTACCGGAGAGTAAAGAATTGGGAAAGGTATTTCAATCTCTTCTGCTTATATTCTCTTCTACATCCTTTTATTTATTTATTTATTTATTTATTTATTTTTGTCATTTTCCTTTTTATAGGTACTGGGGATCGAACTCACGACTGCCCGCTTGCAAGGCAGGCCCTTATGCCTGCTGAGCTAAATCTCCAGCCCCTTCTTCTACATCCTTAAAAGCCACTGCTGCAGCTTGGATCTTGACTGTCCCTCAAAGCCACACGTGCAAAGGCTTGGTTCCCAGGGTGGGCCCATGGGAAGTGGAGGAACTGGAGAGATGTGACCTAAAGGAAGGTCATGAGAACAATGCAGTATGACCGTGAAGGGCATTGTGGAACCCAGGCCCTTCTCTTACTCTTTTTTGGTTCCTGATGCTGATGTGAGCAGTGTAGCTCTGCCATGCACTGCTGGCACAATGTGCCTCCTCATGACCTGCCTAACAACCCAAGCATGGACTGGGTCCTCTAAAACTGTGAGTCCAAATAAACCCTTTCACCTTATCAGTTAATTACCTCAGGTATTTTGTTAACAGTGGTAGAAAACTGGCTAATACAACTGAGTGTGTGCTAAGGATTGCCTACCTTATATTAGAGTACCTTGTGGCCTAGATTCTGAATATCCCCATGTTCCTACCACCTCCACACCCCATATCTCCAAGCGTTTATCTCAGACACCTCTCCAGATAGAAGTCTTGGTTCTCTGTCCCTACCCCAAGCCTAGTTTCAGCATTGGTCTCTCCTAACTTCTTGTTCAAAACAGAAGGAGAGTTCTCTGTTTACCCCACCCCCACCCCACCACCACATTCAGCCCATCAACGTGATGCCTCACCCCAGACCAAGCTGGGTAATGGCCATATTTTCATATCCTTGCCCTCTGTTTGTGCGTGCCCTGTTCCCTTTCATCTCTTCCCTACATGGCCAGGGTGATATTCATAAATTATAGGACAAATCACTTCCTCCTTTGCTCCAAACCTCTCTGATGGCTCCACCTCAGAAAAAAGCCATATTTTTTGTAATGTTCTACAAGACCGCACATGACCTACCCCAACCTCCGGCTCCCTTTCCTCACTGCCTTCATTCCCTAATACTCAGACCTCACCTATTCTGTCCACATCATGATGCCCTCCTTACTATTCTGCAAACTCCATCAGGCACGCGTGGCATCAGGGCCTTTGCATTAACTCTTCCCTCTCCGTGGCATGCTTTCCCCAAACATCTTGCTCCACCATCTCAAGAAAACTTTTCCTTGACATCTTATCTAAAACTTCGCTCCTGACTCAAACTTCTGGATCCTCTTTTGTTACAATTTAGACATGAATATTCCCCTAAAGTCCCACATATTCAGAGGTGAGGCTTTGGAAGGGGACTGGATCATGGAGCACTGTTCTCATCAGTGAGGGGATCCTTGCTGGTTACCAGGTGAGACTGGTCAGGAGAGGCAGGCCACTGGGGTGTGACCTGAAAGGGTATATCTCTCCCTAGCTTCTCCTTTTCTCTCTGCTTTTTTTCCTGCTGCCAGAGGTTGAGCAACTTTTTCTCTGCTATATCCATCTACTATCCTGTCTCTGACTTGGAACCAGCTGACCATGCCTTGAAATTGTGATATCAACTTCCTTTAAGAGGTGGGTATCAAGTATCTTGTCCAGCAATGTAAAACTGACTAGGATCCCGTTTTTTACCACCATCAAACACATAATACAATTTACTGGTTTATTCTGTATATTTTTTGTCTCCAGGGGGGATGACGTATACTCTGTGTATAGTAATCATATCAATTTGCCTAAGGTGGTTATTATGATTTGTTTTAACTTCAAAAAAATTTTTTTTTGTACCAAGGATCGAACTCATGATCTTGCACTTACCAGGCAAGCACTTGAGCCATTGAGCTAAACCCCCAGCCTATGATTTGTTTTGTTTTGCTTTGGTCCTGGGAGTTGAACTCATGACCTTGTGCTTGCCAGGCAGGCACTGTGCTGCTGACCATATCCCAAACCTGGGTCCTGTTTTATAAAACAAGGAAATTATCATATCCCTGAAAAAACTCAGATGGTTGCTCACCCATGAGGGCAGAGATATTTCTCTGTTTTCTTCACTATTCTGTATCTATTCCTGGTGCTTAGTGCATTGCATGACACACAATCAACATTTAAATGATGTTTGAATGAATAAATGAACAATTTGAGTAATTATCTAAAAATGTAAATCAAGCCATCTTTCTCCTATACTTTTTCCCCCCATAACTCCACACTGTACTTAAAATCCAAACTCCTGACCACAGCCTCTGAAACCTGCCCTTTATGGCCCCTTCCTGCTCTACCTCCAAAGGAGGGGAAACGTACCTCTTTTTCCCTCCACTCACTGGGCTTTGGGCAGTCTGGCTTTCTTCCAGCCTCCTCAAGTGCACCTGACCTTTCTATATCTCACCTTTGTGGGTACTGTTTGCTTGGCTTCCCTTCGAGGTGCCTGCTTGTCTTCCAGTCTTAGGTCAGCGCCCTCAGAAAAGGCCTTCCCAGTAAGCCCGACCAGAGAGACTCTCCAGGCACTCCCACCCTTTGCCTCCTTAACATGCCCTGTCACTCAGCACTATGTGTAATTACTCCTGTTTGTATGCTTGTCACTTGTTGCCCATAATCACACCACACACCTCCATCTAGAATTAATGGGTGTCCTTCAGTGTCTGCTAAGGCTGTGTTTTGTGGTCAGGAAAAGAAGAGGGAAAATTGGAAAGACTTCATGCACAGAGAGGAGCAAATTTCAACATGCACCAAATGGGCTGTTGACCAATGAAGGCACTTTCTTGGCTATTGTCAAGGGAGATGCTAATCATAATGTGGCCCTTTTAATGTGGCCCAGCATGCTGCTAAGCTCTCTATACATCGCCTCATTTAATCCTCCTGATACCTTCTTACTGTTATCACTAGCAGATAATAAAACTAAATGTGAATAACACCATCTGTTGACTACTTTACATCTTCCACATCTCCATATTCTCCACATTTTCCTCGCTAATAGGATCCATGCTTTGCGTAGGGTGAGAACGTGCAAGCCTACTAGGTGATGGATCACAATGATCATAGTCTCTGTATTCCCAGATTCCTTTGCAGCTAAGAGAGGCTAGGAGAGCCTTTCCCAGACAATGTGAGCTAAGTGGAGGTTGTTGAGGGAGGAAGTATTTTGAGAAAGCTTCTGCTGTCTTACTCCTTCTTCCTGCCTTGAAGTTATATTCTGTCTGGAGTGGTGGCAGCCTTCTTGTGACCATGAAAAACAAACCCGAGGGTGAAAGTCCTCTGACTAAGCATGACAAGCCAGAAAGAGAGAAGCACTTTGGTATTCTGGCCACACTGTTAAGCAGCTACATCAGTGACCACTTAGCTCTAATCTTTTTGATACATGAATGAAATATGTGACTATTTGTTTAAACTATCATTAGCCAAATATTCTGTCATTAGCAGCAAAACACATTTCAAATCTATAGAATGAGATTCAGATAATTTTAAAGAGAATCAAACCTAAACTAGGACTCTAAGCTAAAGAGTGTGTCTCTGAAGTCCAACAGGATGATGACTAGCCCTTGAGCCCAGATACCTTGAGTGTGGCAACTGAATCTAAACAGTCCTAAGATATTAAATTTGGGGACCACTTAAAAGTGAGAATGCAGAATAGATCACATCCACTGCTGACCAGTGTGGGACGGTGAAATTTCCAAAACTCACGCAGGGAAATCTGTAGGGAAAGTGAAGGTAAAAGAGGTAAAAACCTGCAGTGTGCCAAGACATAAAAGAACCAGCGTTTCTTTTAGTTTCTCCTACGCTGAGGCATTGTGTCAGAAGCTTCCAGAGCCAGCCCAGTTGGCCTTCCCGGATGCTTTGCATCACAGCCCAGCAATTCACATCTCCACAGTACAGAGAAGGAGACTGAAGTCCAGGAAGACAGTGATGTAAAATACCTAAAAGCCACAGACCTATCAAAAGCTGGACAGCCTTTTCCACCACTAAGGAAATTCAAATTAAAACCACAATAATATATTACTGCATGCCATTTAGAACGGTTGAAACAAACTTGACCACTCTAAGCTCCATGCAGTATGGAAGTGGTACACCCACATCATGTGGGTGACAGTGTACAAACCACTTTGGAAAACTGGCAATTTCTTTAAAAGTCAGCCTTATATCTAACACTTAACCAGCTGTTTCTCCCGCTTAAGTTCCAAGAGAAAAGGAAATACATGTCCATGAAAATGCTCATACATGAATATTCATAGAAGCTGTATTTGTTAAAGAATGGATAATGGATAAAGAAATAGTAGTACATCCATACAGTGGGATGCCACCCAGCAATAAAATGAATAAACTATTGTGGGTGGATCTCAAGGGATTTTTGCTAAGTGGGTGGGGAAACCCCACAGAAATCACCTCCTGGATGGTTCCATTTATATAAAATTTAGCAAGGATAAAGTAATCTAGAAATGGAAAGCAGGAAGAAGCTGCCTGGGATGGGTGCTGGGATGAGGTAGGAAGGCTTGAAGGCAAGGTTACATGGGGCACAAGAGAAATGGAGTGGTGGATACCCTCATTGCTTCCATGGCCATGTTGACTTTCCATTGCTGTAAAAAATACCCAAGACAATCAATTTAGGAAAATTTTGTTTTGCCACTGTTTAGGGCCATTGCTTTGGGGAGGAAAGTCAGAACATTATTGCAGGAGCAAGTGGTGGAGAAAAACCACTTGCCTCATGACCATGAAGTAAAAGAGAGTAAGGAGGTGAGCCCATCAGTCCCTGCACAACTCCAGTGGCCTCCAGGCTCCCCAAGTAGACCTCCACCTCTTAAAGGTTCCACCACCTCCCAAGAGCATTCCTTGGGGACCAGGTCTTCCGTGGGCCTTTGAGGCAATTCCGGATCCAAACTATAGAGACTGTGATGATGATTTCATCTTGCACATTAAGTCAAAACTTAGATCGTTGAAAGGAAAAGATTATATGTTGTTGGTAATCACATATAAATGTATGTATGTACATGATAACTATACTACTAATCTCTGTTAGTTCATCAAAAAGTACAGATTGCGTTGTCACTGTTTGACTGATCAATTTTGTGCCTAGATTTTGTAACCTGAACAACACTTTCTAAGACAACAACATGCAATATATTAAGTAGTGGCAGATTCCTACTTTTTTTGAAATTCTGTATCATTTCTATCCTTTTTTTGTTTTCCCTTTTTTTTTTTTTTAAATGTCTTTTTGAGACAGGGTCTCTCTATGCAGTTCAGGCTGGCCTTAAGCTCACTTTGTAGCCCAGGATGGTATTGAACTTGCAACAATCCTCCTGTCTCAACCTCCTGAGTGCTGGGATTACAGGCATGAGCCACCATGCTCAGCTGTTTTCCCTTTTTTAAAAAATTAAAAAATCTTAGCTCGTTAAGTGTAGCTCACTATATGTCAACCGTATCTTAATAAAATTACTTTTACAAAATACCCAAGAGCAC